ATATTAAAGTCTACGTGGAAATTATATATATATATAATTATAACTTAATATAAATATATATATATATGTATGTATATTAAATAATAAAAATTAAATATAATTAAATTGATTTGATGTTTTATGACGACACAATTCCCTATTATTCAACACCCCCTATTAAGGGGGTGCTATTAGCACTCCCCTAATAAAAAGGAGAAAAGAAAAAGCAAGACGTTGGAAATAGAAAATGTCTCCTCATTATTATTTATTATTACACATATATATACATATATATATATATATGTGTGTATATATTATTTATTTATTTATTTATTATTATTATTATTTTCTCTTCTGGCGGAATTCTTCTCTTTTACCATCTTTGACTCTGTACCTGCTCGGACGCCACCACCTTCTTCAATCCGATTCTTTCTCACCCGCCGGAGCCACCGATTTCTCGCCGGTAATTCCCTCTGAACATCTTTCCTTTCTTCATCGCTTGCTAGATGATAGCCGGCGTGAGCATCTCAAATTTCCCCTATTTCTTGTAAACGGCGGCTGAAAACTTAGAAGAGAACTCAAATGCTTCGAGCTTTAGCTGATCATCCCGGCGGTTTCTAGATCTGAGGGGGGCAGTTGGTGGTTTCTAGGGTTTTAATAGGAGTTTTGTATTTTTTAACGGTGCTGTTACGATATATTTTCTTATTTTTTTTGTTTTTTTGAGGGTTAGATGTGAAGCGAAACGTTGATGGTAGTGGACGGACGAGAGTGTGTGATTTCGATTGATAATGACCGGAGATTACAGCTGTGTCTGGTGGCGGTGCTGGTGGTGGTCCGGTGAATCCGTCACATGGAATGGCAGATCTTGTTAGCTACGGGAACGCCGATCGTGACATTGAGCAGGTATATCTTATCAACTCTCTTATACATCGTCTGCTATTTGAAATATACTTTGAGGTCTAAATTTTAGTATTCTTATGAATGAAAGTTTTAGTTTATGTGAAGAAATAGAAAAATCTAGGGCTTAGAAAATATAATCTGGAAAAAGTTCATTGGTACCTTGAACTTTGACAAAGAAGCCTGGTTCTATTTGATGATGTTAGGGATTTTCCTTAAAATTTAGGGTTTACAAGTTTGTAGTTTATTTTCCGGGGGAAGAACTGAATTTTTAAGGCGAGCACTTGATATCCATTGGAAAGAGGAAGCATCTATGTTTTCTCATTTATAAAATAGCCGTAAAGGATGTACCACTCTGTTATTGGCTTATCTCAAAATGGTAATATATACCATGGAACATAAGGTCTAAGGTTCAATTCTTCCCGTGCCATCATCAGGGTGAACATTTTCTGAATGCTGATGGCAGAAAAAGTATTTAGTTGGTTTGAGTTATGGAAAGAGGAGAATTACGTAAGAATGAGATGAATTGTGCTGGGTGGATGAGATGCCAAACTTTTGTGGTGGATGTTTGAACTTTATAATGCCCATGTAGTCGTGGTGCATAGCGCAAGCAATGGTGCCAACTAGAAGTGAGCCATGGCTTGTGGGGCATACTACCATTTTCTGAACTAAAAGAATTTAAGAATGGGTGTACTAAAAAATAAATCTATTATACAATGACATAATCAAAATATCAAATTAGAAAATCATTGGCGAGCAGTTTAACACCCAAACCACAATACGACGACTAATTTAAGAATAAAAAAGGTGTAATCTTTTGCAATCGATAATCCACAGACAAATGAACGATAGCTGATAAATAAAAGTGACCATCACAGAATTAGGCAAGTTCATAGTGTTTTTTGTTACTAGTTTAGTCTTAAAGCAAGCAAAAAATAAAACTGAAGTTTAAGATAAGTAACTTAGTTTGAAGAAACACTCATGGTTAGATAAAATTTGTATGTTGCAAAATAATTTTTTATAAAAAATAAATCAAATAGTCGTGAAGGAAATTTGAGAAGCAAAGATGTGTGTTGCGTAGGTGAGCTTTTGTTGATGGAAGGCAACCATCCAACACTTAAAGTGCACTTAAAATATATGATGAAGGCTAACGGGTAGAGAAAGACTCGAAGAGTTAGTGACTAGGTCTTGCTCTTTGTGATGCTCTTTTTTGTTGGATCAGAATCGTATTGATGCGATAGGAGTCATGGTATTATTGTACAATAAGTGAGATGAAATGGCTCAAATTTTAATTTCAATGAAGAGACCCAAACTTTGGTGTTGCACCATTAGCCTGCGCCATTGGGACATGCCAAAATTTGGCCTGCCTTTGTGCCTAGGCCCCATTGCATGTCCCATTTTCCTTGCTGTGTCATCTTACATGGCTAGGTGCCCTGACATTGCCTTTTGCCATTGTGTGCATGTTGATACCTATCCTACATGAGAAGTTCTGATATAAGCTATGCAAAAGCATGAACTGCTTGCTAGTTTTGAACCATATACCGGACATTTGTTGGATGCGTAGGACATTGAACCAATACGAATCATCTGAAAGATTTGAAATTGATATTAGAAGTTTCTTGGACAAGCTATTAAATATCCCTATTTGGAAAGATACATTGTGTGTATTGTAGATTGATCAATTGTTTGTGTTCATATAATTTTGTGACTAGCAGTTTCATCATTCTTATTTGGTAAGAGCCTTTTGCAGGCATTAATTGCTCTGAAGAAGGGTGCTCAGTTACTTAAATATGGTCGCAAGGGGAAGCCCAAATTTTGTCCGTTTAGACTTTCCCATGTGAGTTTTTCAACTTGTACTCTTCATTGTACCAGCAACAATATAGCATTTTTTGCTTTATGCTTCTGTTTGATTTCCTTAACTCAATTCGTGGTCTCTTCTTTATATAAAAAATGTTTACCTAAATAGCAACGTACATATTAACTAACCACCAATGTGAAACACCAATATGTATACATGGATGTTACTGATAAGCCCATTTGTTGATCTGACATTCTAGGAAAAAGATGCATTTCTTTTGGAGATACGCTATGCATTAATGGAAACATATATGTACGTGAAACACCAATATGTATATGGATGTTACTGATAAGCCCATTTTGTTGATCTGACATTTTAGGAAAAAGATGCATTTCTTTTGGAGATACCGAGATACGTTGAGTTTAATGCATTTTTAATGGAGACATATGTACGTAATAAATAAATTATGTTAAATGGCCATAAAAGAAGTGATAACTTCACTGTTAGGTTCATTTCAGACACCAACAGCGCATATGGCATAACCACCAACTGGGTGCTATCGGGATACGTTCGAAATCAACATGTAATATTTGCTGAGTCATTTGACACAGGAGTAAGAGGTTATATCATAAGTACATGATATCCATCTCCAGATAATCCATTGTATCAGGAAGTATTCCTAAAGTATTCACGAGATTCACAATAAGTAAATCAAACCAGAGAATGCAGATGCAAGTATCATAGTATAAACATACATGTTTTAAGAAGCATGTATGGAGTATTAGGTTCAACTGATCAACCACCACATTGACCTCCACGAAATTTTGCCCCCTCTGGCCTTGTTTGTTCTGTACGTAAGCCCCTGAAAATTACCAGAAGATGTTGCAGAGCCAAATATCGTTTTAATGGGGGTGATAAAGGTTGAACACTTGAACCCAAGTGAGCATTGATGAATCGGTCATCTTGAATTACTCTCCAGGCTTCCGTTCATGGAAAGTCGTCTCATCAGCAATAAACAACCCAGGCAGTTGGCTACAATGAAAGTATTATTGTCAACTTGTAACTGCTACATTGACCTCCAAGAAATAATTGTTTTTTGCAAAACCTATTATAATGAAAAATTCACCCCTTTTTATCATTATTTGTTCTGTACATCGGCCCTTTAAATTAGTAGAAGATGTTGCAGGGCCAAATGTCTTTAATAGGACTGATGAAGATTGAGCCCAAGTGAATTTGTCAATATGTGATATCACTCTCCAGGCTTCCTTTCATGGAAAGTCGTATGACTAGAATTAAACAACCTATAGTACTAGTTGCAATGTGTCTGAAAATGCCTTGATCTTTTTAGCACTCTATTTAGCAAGTGGAACTTCATTTTTAGATTGCTGTAAGATTTGTATGGTTCGTCTGTAAATGCTTTTCTACTTCATCATTCTTGCTTATTAGCTTCCCAATCTTGATCCTTGTCTCCTTGGCTTTGTTAGCACTGTTTTTAGACCTGTCTACGGTGCAAACTGTTCACATTTTAGACAGATTCTGTTTGTTCTGTGGAGTATAGATTCACAGCCTAGTAAATGGGTATGAAAATCGTAGGATTGGGGGGACAAAATTATGTTAGAGTTGGTGTTAGGTAATTATTAGGACAATTGTTAATATCACTTAACTTGTATACGAGGATGATTAGGAAAACTGATAGCATTCATCTTCTATCATTTATTATAAATATTTTAATTGTTCCTTTTGCTAATACTGTGGCCTTTGATGCCCTTTCCTAGTTGACAGTCCCTATCAACGAATGAATAAATGCTCTCATTGTGTATAGTTGCTATCTTGTAGCTGGTATACACATAATATCTTCGGGCTGAAATATAGTGATTTTCTGATACCAAATATGAACTGTTATTCTTGGCCTCTGAAAGTGCACTCAGCTCTTTTACTTCTTGTCATTTGATGATTACTAATTATGAATTTGAATCTATAGGATGAATCGTCTTTAATTTGGATTTCCGGCAGTGGTGAAAGGAGCTTGAAATTAGCCTCAGTCTCTAGAATTATTCCTGGACAAAGAACTGTGAGAATTATACAATCTTTTTAGTATCAGTTATGCATCATGATTCTTTTTAATTTCTTGCATATCTCATGAGCATAGATAGACATGATATGATCAACGAATGGATCTTTGAAATAATGCTTCTCTTAATGCTACTACTAGGCTGTCTTCCGACGTTATCTGCGTCCTGAAAAGGACTATCTTTCATTCTCTCTTATATACAACAACGGCAAACGATCTCTTGATTTGGTCAGTGATTAACTTATGATATCCTTTGTCACGTGCGAGTAGATTTCCCCCCCTAAACTGTTGTGATTCATTTTAGATCTGCAAAGATAAAGTTGAGGCTGAAGTGTGGATAGCGGGCCTCAAAGCACTCATTTCATCTTGGCAAGGAGGGCGTTCGAAAATTGATGGATGGAGTGACGGAGGCCTTTACCTTGACGTATGTTTACCTGCCCCGAAACTTCTTGTTTGTCATGATTATTAGCAACACTATTTTTTTTCTTGGTAAATGTGTAAAGATACTTGAATAGAATAATGTGCCAAGAATGGAAAAATCAGTTTCTTCCAAAGGGCAATTGTCAGTATCCATGTATCTGTTCTCCACTTCAATGGCCAAGTAGTTTGTCTCTGTGTAACACGTCCTTGTCCAATACGAAAATTCAATCGAGTTGATGACTAGAGGAATGAAATAGAGTGTTAGTATGCCGGCTTGATAACCTTGCCCAGCTTGAACCGGTTAATTTGAACTTGAAAGTTGGTCAATATGGGCCACAGGGTGTGTAGAAACTAGAAAGAAATTTCCCTGCTTGTATGAAGGGTTTCGTCCCAATCTATAGCATCCCTAATCATGTTCTAATAATCTCCATTTTTGTGTATGCTAAGCTATGTAATTTACTCTATCGTGTCACTGTCAATGTCCATCGTTAATAAAATATTAATGTGACTTTTGTTGGTATTCATGAACTGTTTCTTTGTTTTTTCTCCTTTTTTTACACGCCAGAGAATTTCGGTAAACATTTGAAGTTCAGTTTCACTTTTCTTATGGAGCAATTTCCATCACTAGTTGTTTTCTTAATTCTATTGTCACATCAACACAAGGTTCTGTTTTAGATGAGTCTGCTACTTGTAGCATATATTAGATCAGGTAAAAACTCACTTTAGCAGAAACTGTCTGAACTATCCTTGTAAATTGTATATGGAGTTGATCACTTGAGATATTAACTTGGTGGTGAAAGAACAATCTCTATTGGCATGGTGTTATCAACTTATAAAGTAATGGGATGCGTCTGTACAATATCTGCTTACATGTTAATTAAGGTGATGTATTTTATGTTAGCCAAGTGAAAAAGCAGAATTTATTTGCTATCTTTAAGGCTTATGTTTGATTTTCCTTTTTATTGGTATCATTGTTGGTTAATTGACACCAGGATAATAAAGATTTAGCATCAAACAGTGCAAGCGACAGTTCAGTTAGTGCTCCTCGAGATTTTAGTTCCCCAGACGTTTCTGTTAGTTCAAATCCAACTACTTCTCCCAAGAGTTATCCTCCAGGGAGTTCCATTAATTTTGAGAGGTCGCATGCAGTTTTGGACCAAACAAATATGCAACTTAAAGGCTCTGGTTCTGATGCTTTTAGGGTCAGTGTTTCAAGTGCTCCTAGTACCTCTAGTCACGGATCTGGCCCTGATGACTGTGATGCTTTAGGGGATGTGTATATATGGGGCGAGGTAATCTGCGACAACATTGTCAAGCTAGGTCCAGACAGAAGTGTGAATCCTTCGAGTACAAGAGCAGATGTGCTTCTGCCCAGACCTTTAGAATCCAATGTGGTTTTGGATGTTAATCATATAGCCTGTGGAGTGAGGCATGCTGCCCTCATAACTAGGCAAGGTGAACTCTTTACATGGGGTGAGGAATCTGGAGGAAGGCTCGGCCACGGTGTTGGAAAAGATGTTACTCAGCCTTGTTTAGTTGAATCTTTGGCTGTTTCCAATGTTGATTTGGTTGCGTGTGGTGAATTCCACACTTGTGCTGTTACATCGCTTGGCGAGATGTATACATGGGGTGATGGCACACATAATGTTGGACTTCTTGGGCATGGTACAGATGTCAGTCATTGGATACCTAAAAGAATTGCTGGTCCACTTGAAGGACTTCATGTTGCTTCAGTAACCTGTGGTCCATGGCATACTGCCTTGATAACGTCAACCGGACAACTTTTTACCTTCGGCGACGGTACATTTGGTGTTTTAGGTCATGGCGATAGGGAAAATGCCTCGTATCCTAGGGAGGTAGAATCACTTTCGGGGTTGAGGACAATCGCCGTTGCTTGTGGAGTATGGCATACGGCTGCTGTAGTGGATGTTATCGTAACACAGTCTAGTTCAAGTGTTTCTTCTGGAAAACTATTTACTTGGGGTGATGGAGATAAAAACCGTCTTGGCCATGGTGACAAAGAACCTCGGCTTAAACCCACATGTGTGCCAGCGCTCATTGATTACAATTTTCACAAAGTGGCATGTGGGCATAGTCTAACTGTAGGTTTGACCACATCAGGACATGTTTACACAATGGGAAGCACCGTTTATGGTCAGCTTGGAAATCCTCAATGTGATGGGAAGCTACCTTGCTCAGTAGAAGGTAAGCTGGTCGGTTCGTTGATTGAAGAGATCGCTTGTGGTGCATATCATGTGGCCGTTTTGACCTCAAAGAACGAGGTATATACATGGGGCAAGGGAGCTAATGGGAGATTAGGCCATGGAGATATTGAAGACCGTAAAACACCAACTATCGTTGAAGCTTTGAAAGATAGACATGTTAAGTATATTTCTTGTGGTTCAAACTACACAGCTGCCATTTGTGTTCATAAATGGGTCTCTGGTGCCGAGCAATCTCAATGCTCATCATGTCGGCAGGCTTTTGGGTTCACAAGAAAGAGGCACAACTGTTATAATTGTGGACTTGTGCACTGCCATTCATGTAGTTCAAGGAAAGCACCAAGAGCAGCCTTGGCTCCTAATCCTGGAAAACCATATCGTGTATGTGATTCCTGTTTTACGAAGTTAAGTAAAGTGGCCGAAACTGGGATGAATGGCAGACGAAATGTTAAACCCCGACTATCGGGTGAGAACAAGGATAGGCTAGACAAGGCCGAGATAAGATTAGCGAAATCCGGGGTGCCTTCCAATCAAGATCTGATCAAGCTGTTAGATAACAAAGCAGCTAAACAAGGGAAGAAATCGGATACATTTCTTCTAGGCCGCTCGTCTCAAGCTCCATCCTTGTTGCAGCTCAAAGATGTTGTGTTGTATACGGGTGGTGATTTCCGCCGAACGATTCCTAAACCGGTTCTTATTCAATCTGGTGTTAGTTCCAGGTCTGTGTCGCCATTCTCGAGGAAACCCAGTCCTCCACGTTCAGCAACACCTGTTCCTACAACGTCAGGGCTTTCTTTTTCCAAAGGTGTCGCCGATAGTTTGAAGAAAACAAACGAGCTCTTGAATCTAGAAGTTGTTAAATTGCGTGGGCAGGTACTTGACAAACTCTTAAACTGTGTTTTGTTTGAGCAACTGTTCTCCTAAATTGACAATTATTTTTGAATCTTCTTAAGGTTGACAGCATGAGGCATCAATGTGACAGTCAAGAATTAGAGCTTCAAAAATCAAGAAATAAAGCTCAGGAAGCTATGATGTTGGCTGCCGAAGAATCTGCCAAATGTAAAGCAGCTAAAGATGTGATAAAATCTTTGACAGCACAGGTGAGATTCTTTGTAAAGCATAAGCTTCATTCTGTTAAATGGTGTAGGATGCATATTATTTATTCGTTGTCATAATGTATTTCTCTTGGAAAATCATTTATTTATCTAGCCTGAGCTCACTTAAAAATAATTTTAGTATCATTTTTAGTGATTTTGAAGTATCCTCTGTCAAGTAACAATCACAATGATTTCCATTTTGGGTTGTCCCAAGAAATCTGTGACGACTTTTGGCAACATTTTGAACTAAATTGGTGTATTTGCTTGTCATCCGTAAAAAGGATGATACTAGTTTTGCCTCCCAAGAATCCTCTGTTTTATTGCTATCGAAGGGTATTTAACACATTTGGCCAAAATGCATGCGCTTCTTTTAAGCTATATATATGCCTTATCAAATATACCTTCATTTCAAAATAAATGTTGACGATGAAAAAGGCATACAGTTTTTACGAATGTGTAATTTCACTTTTAATTCAACTAAATGACAATTTTATCCTTAACAGAGGGAGTAATGAATTTCTCCATCTCATAATTAAGGGCAAAATGGGAAAGTTGTCACTTACTTTTGACAGTAGGCACTTATTTTGAGACAAACTAAAGTAGAAATGTAGACACTTATTTTGGGACGGAGGGAGTACTGCAATTTCCATGAAAAAAGACGATGAACTTTAAAGTTCTTTCCAGTATAAATCAAAGCAATGTTTAGTCGAAAAGATGGACAGGGTAAAAAAAGTTCTTGCTTTGAAGTAAAAAAGTCTTACCAGATTTAGTAAATTATTTTCTGGTGATTGTAGTGATTTCTAGTAATCTGCTCTCCATATTCTTCAGATATGAACTAAAACCCAAAACTAGACAGACGTCTGGTTCCTTGATATGTAAACTGTGTCAATGTTAGTCAGACATTGACCATATGTGAACCATCTGAAGGCCTATTGAGGGTGTTTATTTAATTTCTCATTGGCTCTATATAAAATTGTAGCTCAAGGATATGGCAGAGAGATTGCCACCTGGATCCTACGACTTCGAGAGCATCAGATCAGCAAATGGCTTGGAACAGAATGGAGTTCATCACTTTTCTGATGCAAATGAAGCCGGTAAATCGATATCAAATGGATTACTGGGTCCCACTGCAGAAACCGAGGAGCCTATGGGGTATAATAGTCGTAGCCCGGAGTCCATGATCTCTAATGGAAATGGAGTAGGGGAGCAAATGGGGGCCAACAATTTTTTGCCAGATGCAGTTGAAAGCACGGATTCTGTTCCACCAAGAGATGAGATGAACAATGGTTTTAAACCTAGGAGTCCAGTGTCTGCTGTCACTACTACAACTGCAACTACTAATCAAGTTGAGGCCGAATGGATTGAACAATATGAGCCTGGTGTGTACATAACCCTAGTGGCTCTCCGTGATGGAACTAGAGATCTCAAAAGAGTGCGCTTCAGGTATATTTCATTTTCATGAAAATATAATGTACTTTGTCTGATCCCCTTTCGGAAAACTGCATTCTGGTACCTCAAACGTGATATCTGAAAACATTTAGACCAAAGTACTTTACAAAAAATAGGAATCACACGCTGCAATTTTCATGCATTCTCAGATGTAAAGTAGGTACCTAAATGTTTGACATGTCATATCCTGGATACTAAAATGAAGCTTTTGTAAGTACGATAAACATAATAGGAATCAGACCAAGGGTATGTTGCATTTTTATGCAATTTGACCTTTTATTTCTGGAAAGTTAAAATAATTAACGTATCTGCTCTAAGGTATTTACCAATGCACAAGACAACACATTTGATCATGCATGGCTCTATAAAAACGATAAGGTGCAAAATGCCTGATGACTGCACCGCAGGATTAGACTGAACTGAATGGGTCCCTAAAGAGCCCGGCCCAGTTAGGATCGGTAGTGTGAATATAATGGTCCTTTTGAGCACCCCTTGCCTAGTTTTTTAAAAGGTAAATCGTTAGTTTACGAGCTTATTTAAAAAACCCTGTTTGGTTTTTTCTTCCCACTTTCAATTATATGCAATCTTATATTTTTACAATTAATTTTTCAGCATTTCGTTTTCGGTCATTTTACATTGCCATCTAGTTTTATCAGCTAGTTTTATTTTATCAAACTAGTTTATTAGCTAGCTTATCAGCCCACAGTCAGCTGGTTTTGCCAAACATAGCCTTTCTTAAGTCAAAATGGTTACCTAAGCTCCACGCTTGATCACTTTATGATGACTTGTACCTTCTGCGGTGAAACTTGTACTTTGGTTTTGCCTTTTTAAACTAATGAATCACAGAAGTCCAAAAATATCCGAGGAAAAGGAGAGATGTGAATTTTGTGGTTGTGTGTTGCAGCCGCAGGAGATTTGGGGAGCACCAGGCGGAGACATGGTGGTCGGAAAACCGTGAACAAGTTTATGAAAGATATAACGTACGTGGATCCAACAAGACATCATCAGTTTCTACTACAACTGCCTCCCGGAGGTCAGCCGAATCCAAGTATTAAAATCAACACCACCCCATCCCCCCGATTTTTTTAGCTTTTATCTATATATTATTTTTGTAATTTACGTTCAGTTGGGGGGTTCCAAAAATTGAATTTATTGAATTAACTGCTCGCTCCTAATGAACCATAATCGTTGCATGAGTTACTAAATGGTCGGTTAGGTTATTTAAAAGACCCGTCTTTATGAACTGGGTTCAGCTCCGTTCTTAAAGTGACCCATTGGCAACGCCTATATAACATTTGCTCTTTTTTGAGGAGGTTCAAGTTTATTAGCAAATTTGACCTAGTTATTTTACATGAATTTCCCGTCTTAAACTCGGTTATGAATTGCAAATTTCCATCGTTGGATTGTGAAGATGGTTCTGTTTTACTTGAATCGGATCTCTATGCTCATCTTCACAATCCAATGACGGAAGTTTGTTATTCATACCCGAGTTTGGCACAGGAAATCCAATGTAGGCAAAAAGAACCATCGAAATCATCGATAGAAAGATCAAATTTGCTATTGAACTTGCCAATTTTTAAAATAATAATCGTTGTCGATATGTTCCGTCTGTTCATGCAAAGCAGTATTTGAAGCTCTTTGCTGTTGCAAAATAACAAAAGAGAGAGATCATGAACGACACTGAAATCCTTGGATAGTTGCTTTTGCTTGATCCATATGAGTCCACAGGTGACATAACTCACAGCTTTATATTCTGCTTCTGTTGAGGACCGAGAGCCGGTTGGTTGTCATTTAGACCCTCACGATACGAGAGACGGACCCAAAAAAACACAAAACCGAACGTCTGGGGTATGGTATCCGTACATTTACCCCAATCTGAATAAGTTTGCAGCTAAAATCTGGACTTATTACAAATAGCAAAGTGAAGTTGAGCAGCTTGCAAATGGCTTGTACGTGGGTTAGACATGAACTGGGACTATTTATGGACGACACAAGTAAGCTCAGTTTCTCTATATTTCTCAAAATAATAAACCAACACATCTAAAATGTTCACGGCAACATCAAGGAGCATTAACCAAATTGACAATAAATTCAGAACTTAAAAGTTCACCATTTATCAAATCTTCAACATCTTTACATGATTTCTGTCATCGCTAACTTGAGATAATTTCAACAAAGCTTCCTTTATTTGAGCAAACTAACTTGTTATAGCTTTTAACACTTTCTATATGACTTTCCCAATGGGTAGTAGACAAAGATTTCAAAGTCAAATAATCAATAAACTCAAATAAAACACTCAATCATTTGGTAAAATTAGCAAACACGTTGTATATTGTTTGACATGTTCTAGAAAATGTTTTTGCTTTATGACAAGAATGTACCATATCAAACAAAACTAAGTTATAACAATGACAACCACATGGCATATAAAATGCTCTAAGATTTATATCAATCAATCTTTTTTGAACACCTTGATATATTTTTTTTTTCATATTAGATCCATTATCATAACCTTGTCCTTTGCACAAAATTGATGTCTAAATCTAGAGATTTTAAAAAATCTTGTAACACATTATACACTTATGGAAGCATACGACATATCAACACATCTTATAATCAGAGACATTTGTTCCTTGTGATTTGCATCAGGAGTGCAATCAAGAGTTACCGAAAAATACATTGCTTCTTTGATTTTTGTAATAATCACACTCTTAAATTCAGATGCCAACAATTGAATCAATTCATTTTGAATTTTATGGCTAAGATAATAATAATGAGTTTATTTGTCTTTAATTAGCCGAAAATATTGTTTCATGACTGGATCAAACTCAACAATCATTTGAAGTATACCCAATAAATTTCCGTTAGAATTTTGATAATTTTTTTTCATTTGATCCACGAAAGGCCAGATTATATTGTTCTAGACATTTCATAACAACAATTATTCTAATCAAAACTTCTTTCCAGTGATCAATATCTTTCTAAATCAATTTTGTAACTCTTTATCAATTGTTTGATTTTTATTCAATCTCACTCGCAACTCAGACTAAGTTCTCAAGTTAATCATATGTTCAGAACTATTTTCATGCAAACTTAATGTTTCATCTAAATGCCTCTAATCAATTATCTCTTCGGTAGCTAATTTGATTTCTAGACCAAGCAATTTTGAATATCTTACAGCAAAATACAAAAAACTCTATTCAACACTTTTGAATAAATCAACCATTTTCTATCATAAGAATCATCATTTCGTAACTTACGGACATAATGTTCACAAGAAAAGTGTCTACCAACTTTATCTTTTGAAAAACTGATGTTGGTTACTCTTATGCCCTTTTTAGCAAGCAAATCTTTCAGTTTTGAATTTAAGTCATCTTAAACCTTGGATCAAGAATATTCAAATTGACTCTATCATTACACGGATTTTCATCATCTCTAACTTCATCAATAAACAAATTTTTAATATTTTCAAAAAATCATTGGGATTTTCAGAAAATGTTTCAATGAAATTTTCAGAAACATTTCCAATTGGATTTTCAGAAACATTTTCAATGGGATTTTCAGAAATATTTTCAATTGGATTTTTAGACACATTTTCATGCCTAAAAAATATCGATTTAACATTCCCTGTAAAGATTGCGCATTTTTTTGTTGTCTTTTCTTTCTTTTTCTATTTTGTGCACATGATGGTTGTGATTTAGGAAACATGTTTAATGTCTTGTGAAAATCAACCAAAAGATATCAGAACAATACTAGTCGAACATAGAAGAATAGAATCTGGATTAAACTCGTGCTTTTTTTTTCTTTTTTTCTTTTCTGATTTTCCCCTTTCCAAGTTGAAATTAGTACACTAGAACCGTTATTTCAAATATATGAAACTTAAAAGATAAGAAAACTGTAATTAGTTATTTAATTTAACCGAAGTTGTAAACATAACTCAAAAGACCAAAGTGATAGCCTATGTAGTGTGCACTATGCTCCAAATATAATAAATTCTATGTCATGTTCTGTTTAAGCACAAATAATAATGAAAATGAAGCCCATAATAACAGAACATATGACCAAGAAGAAATTGCCAATGTCCAAAATCAAATGGACAGGCACACAAAGTGCATCTGACCCAGTTTTTTCTTGCTTTCTTGATTTTTCCAGCTATTTTTGGTTGATTTCCATCTAGTTTTTCATGGGGATTTTGATATCATAATATAGACAAGATCAATGCTGACATTTTGATGCTAAAATCACTAGAAACCATTGACAATAAGCTTTAATTTCATCTTCTTAAACCACAAGGGTGGTGCCTGATTGGTTTGAGTTTGGCTCTAAAAGTCAAAAGTATTTGGAGGTCTCATGTTCAAATCTAAGGAGGAATAAAAATCCCCTTGTGGCCACGGAGGTTCAAATGCAAGTGACTCTGGGCTATCTGCAAAACAAGTGGTTTCCCTGAGATTAGTCGGCTCGCATAGCGGGTTGGATATCCAGGTTAATAAAAAAAAATTCATCTTCTTAAAACTAAAGATTTTTTTTCTAAATTTCCAGCATATTATCAATATTGGACAGGAGCTTGTATCAATTGCAAATACAATGAATACATAATGTCAAAATTACTCGATTAAATGTTACTATGCTAGAATTTAGAAAAAAAATCGTACCTGGGACTTGGTACTATGCCCGATTGAGAGTTTTAAGTGAGAAATCGATGAATCTCACTATACCAATCTTCCACTTCTAGTTCCAGATTTGAAGACATACAATTGCAACCGACTAAATCGAGATTCGAAGGTTGATATTTCAGAAACAATGAAGGATTGAGATTTAAGAGTTGTCGGTGCCTATATCGCTTGCAAAATCAGTGAATCGTGTAACCGAGTATATATAGTCCGCCATGCATCGAGCCAATCGTCCCATGGAACGTCGTTACCGTTAATCGTCCTACTCTGGATTTGGAACGTTATCCTTGAAAATTGAAATAATCAAACAATCGAAGAATAATATAAATCGTTAAATCGCCAAAGCCAATCATCGTGAACTCGTGATGCACTAGTTCACATAACACTGATTCAAGTCTACCAGGCCTAGGCAGTTGATCCTGTGTTTATAACTAAAGCCCAAGTCTCAAATTATTAAACCCAAAAAGCCAAAACTAATATTATATAAAAACTTGATGTCCCTTTGGGCTTTGATATCCTGTACAGTCGCACGTACTACACGTGCCCAAGGTCGGGCCAGCTCCAAACCTACAGTAACACCACTCCCCTATTCGTCCAACCCCCACACAAACCAATAAATGTACACAAAAAAGGAAAAAAAGAAATGAAAAAATAACCAGAGTTTTTGGGTTCCAAGCTCGAGTTCATGATGCCCACCCTCCAAAACTAACACACATCTCATCAGTGGGAGGAGAGAGAGGAACGATGGTTAGTAGAGAAGGTTAAATCCACATCTCACACACGCTTTCTCACATAAGCCACAAATGGGTTTAATCTTGTTCTTTTTTCTACGTGGGACTATCATATAAGAAACATATGCTTTTTCTACTTCTTCTTTCATCGGGGTTGTAGGTCGACCCATATGGGTTCATGTGCGCGAGTGTGGTACGTGTAGAGAAAAGGTTATAGACACCAGTGGCGATGGTAACGAAGGTTCGGATGGTTGTCGGAGGTGGCAAGTTGAAAGGAATGTACTAGAAATGTAATTAATGCGTTTTAGGGACCTTAGTCGTACAACTAATAAACCATATGGACCAGGAACGTAATTTACTCTATAAATAAATTAAAAGTGTATTTATACTTATTATAAATTAAACTTAAACAAAAATAGTTTTTCCAAATATTAAACCTCTTAATTTTGACCACCAAAGTCAACTTTCATCCTTTCCAATCCATCATCACCTTCGAAATCCAAATTTCGTTCACCATTCATCATCTTCAAACCCCTTCCTTCCTTCCTCTCCTCCTCTTCTTCTTCCTTTCAATTCTTCACAAATTCATAATTTGCTGTTGATTGCAATCTCTTTCATCATCTCTTGTTGGAAAGCGGGTGGGGTTCCAAATTTTGAACCCCACATGCAACCCAACGAACCTCCGATTACCTCACAACATGATCAACCGCCGCCGCCGCCGCCACCACCACCACCACCACCACCGGTGGCGATGTCGCAACCAACAACACAATGGCAACAATCACCCAAGGTATTACCACCACCTCTCCACTACCAATCTTACAACCCCATGATGTTTCCGAATCAACCTGCACCATTTCCAATGGGAGTTCCTCCCCAATTATACAACCTGCAAAATGGATCGCCGTCGCCTGCG